CCCCCCCCCCCCCCCCCCCCCTCGGTTCAGTCTGTTCAGAGTAATCTGAAGTAAGTCATTCCTCACATGCTGCTCAGAGGAATGTTAACGTGCCAGTCATGTGCTCCTCACAGCCCTTCCTTGAGAATTTGTGCCGAGGACCACCTCAAACACGAGTTTCTGAGCAGTCGCTGTTATTTTTGTGTTGTTTGGGGGCGGGTGGGATGGGGGGGGTGGCAGGCGAGGAGGGGTCACAGCCCGTTGCTTTCTAACAGATGGAGACTGCTGCTGTTGCTGCTGCAATGTCTGGCTTGGACAGTTTCTATGGTAACCCACCCACAGGAGCATGTATGACCAGAGAAGAAAGTAGGGTTGCTAGGTCTGCGGATAATGATGAGACTTAGCTTTTTAAAATTTTATTCTTTTTTTTTTTTTTTTTTCTGTTTTCTCCCACGCAGCAAACAGCGATGATACAGTGGCGGCAACTGATCGGTTTCATCAAGCAGTTCTGCAAGTGAATGTTTCATACGATCATAACTGGTGGGCCTAATTGGGCTTGAGGTCTTGAACCAGTGTTTATATATTTGGTCGACTGAACCTCCAAAGCCTCTGATATTCCACCATAACTCGCTGTCTTATTTTATGGACGTAGACGCATGCTTCTTGTTAGTTTCGCCGACAGACGCCTCGCGTTGTGCTTTTGACGCAGCCACACACGTCTTTGTTCATTCCTGCAGTCTTATGCTCCTCCGTGGCATTCGTGGCATTCGCTGAGTAAATACTCAATTGTTTATGCAGCTCAGTCCATCTGCGGGTTTTATACTGATTAGGTTAGCAGCATATGACACTAATTTCTTGTATAACTGTATTTGTCCCTTTCATATACTGTAGGAAAAAAAACCAACAGATCTCCTTGTGATGTACTTTACTTTTGCCAGATGGTAATTAAATATTACAAATGAGAAAATCTGAAAAGTATGAGAACTGTTAAAAGTATTTTTGTTGATTTTAGGCGTATTTTTGCCTCTGTTAGCAGTACGAACTGCAACATCAGTGGAACTGAGCGTCTTTCACAACTCACTGACCTCGCATCAATCCAGTTTTAATGCACAGTGATAAAACAAAATTATAATACCAATGGATACCATTAAATATATGAGGCCTGCTGTTTACAACAAGGGAAGTGAGGCTGAAACATTAAGTCCTAAGACTTTACCCCTCAAAAATATTTGTTCTAGTTTCTAAACTTTGAGGATTTTCTTGTCAACCAAAATAGAAACGGTTGTCACTTTATAAGAATTAGAATAACATTTTTATACTGATTGCAGAATGCCATGACGTTGCTTCCACTTTGGTGAATTTAACTCTGGAGTTTAATAAAAACGCTGAGATCATTATTTCTGTCTATATTCTGCCATGACCTGCACCTTTCTGGACGCGTATGAGCTGCCTGGAATGAAAGCCCTTTTTCAGTCCATCAGCTCTTTATCCCACTGTGTCGTGTCTCTGGTGAATTCACCTGGGGTTATATCAACTAAAATTAGACTCTCAATTATGAGCAATTACTGTCAGGCCTGTGGGCCCCACAGTGTATTCGCTCTAGCGCTCACACCCGCACTGCGCCACTCCAGTTCCTTCCATGGTTGGGAAGGCACCTATACAGTGAAGTGAAAGTACGCAGAGAGAAACCCGGCTGTTACGTCCCGGCTCACACTTCCTTTAATTGTTTTCTGGGTTCATTTCCTATTTTGTGACAAAGCTCTGATAAACTTTGTTAGCAGCCTAATACACTGAACACTGTACAATTACACTAGCCTTGTAGAGCTTTCTCAAATTAGAGCACCGTAGCATAAATATGTGCTAAATCCGTCACATGCTCCCACAAGTCATTGGAGGCTCGCTGTAATTGCATGGGTTTAATCTAATCACTAGTGTGCTGCACAATAAAAGACAAGAAATGCAAAAAAAAAAAAAAAATAAATAAAAATTGTAGCCCTGGCGCAAATGAGAACAGAGGATTGTAATCTGTTTTTATAAGGTCCTCTGGGTGCTGTTTTAGGTGAGGAGGGGATCTCATCACATTGAAATAGACCTCAAACATTTTTTTTTTAGCTGTTCTTGCAAACTCAGCAAGAGTTTGCTTTTTCTTACTGAGCTCTTTAATTATATATGAATATGTTATCCTTAGATAGAGAACTTTATTAATTGGCTTTTGTATGTATGTAAATGTTTGGCGCTACATAAATAAACTGAATTGAATTGAAATTATTCCTTTGATTACTGTTCTGTAATGCACCCTGTACTGTTGGATCACAGAATACCTCAAGACCTGTTCAGAGGCTTATGTGAGTGTGTGCTTGTTGTTTGAGAAACAACTTTTCTTTAAAGAAAGTAGCGGTTATGGAAAAAAAATACACTTACTGCTTTTGTCACATCCGAAAAATACATACAGTACCAGTACTTGTTTGTCAGAAAGAAGACAAAATGTACTTTTTTAAGTTTTTTTGGCAAAAATAAAAAAAATCTTTGTAAGAATCCCAGTAAATCTCTATGAAACTGACATTTGCAACCAGAATTCTCTAACAGAATCTACTGGATTATTTCAATCCTTTAATACTTTTCAGTTTTTCCCCCATTTGTCCCTTAATTTTATCTCCCGCCAACATGAAAGGTGAGTGATTATGTGACTCCCTCTGTTTGTGTGTATGAGTTTGTTTTTCTTTCACGCAAACTATGTAATAATCTAACCTTTATATTGCTATATAAATGTATTTATTTATTTATGGGAGTGGTGGCACAAAGGTTAGAGAAGGCAAGCCTGCCTGCGATCACAAGGTTGCCAGCTCAACTCCCCAGGCCAACATCAAAATGTTGGTGGGAATGGTGAAACACAAGGTTCAAGGTTCTTTATTGTCATTCACATCACATGTGGTACATAAGGTGGATTGAAATTGTGTACTCAAGGTCCCAGTTGCATCAAAAACAACAAAATATAAGGTATAATAAAAAGAAACAGTATATAAAGATCTTTAGATGTTCCTAAACATTAATAATGTAATATAATACGTAGGCCTGTCATGATAAACAATAAGTCAGTCGCATGATGAATGAAAATTATCAACCTCATTTTCATTTACCGGCTTTATCGTTCCTTCGTGTCTCGCTCTTTCTACTGAAGACAGGGCTCAACTCCGGTGCTCTTCATTGACCCCTCCCTTTCTCTTTAAAATTCATTTTAACTGTCCAAAATCGCGTTTTTGGATCGTTAAAAGCAGCTAAGCTACGAGCTCCGCTAACAGGCTGACCTCGGGAATAAACATCCGTCTTGTCGAAGCGCCAAAATTCACGGTTGAAACCTGTGCCTTTGTGTAAAAAGTTGTTTTTTCTCTGCTAAAAGAAGCTGAGAACTTATTTACTGATTTTTTTATTAAAAGCATTGTGTGAAAAATGCTATGCTAAAGAGCTCAAATCACTTAGCGTCCACCATGTCACCATGTCAGCCAATGTGCGTCACCCTCCCTCCCATTTTTATTAAAGAGACACGCTGCTCAACTATCCATCCTTTGGTTCAACCAGTCTTATACTGCCATCAAGTGGTCAAAAACGGTACTACACTCCAAACAAATCAACATTTCTAAAATTTGACAATTAATTATTGTTAAATTTCAAACAATATAATCGTTTATCACAATAATTTCTGAGACAATTAATTGCCCAGCAAAATTTGTTATTGTGACAGACCTAATAATACGATGTATTAAACAGCAGCCTGAACATGAGTCTGTTGTGAACAGATGGGTATGAATATAGCAGCTTAAAGGCAAGAAATCAGCAGCATGGATAATCAGCAGCACAGACCAAGTGACATATCACCAATTAAAGTGGCAGCACCCACACCTGGCTCCACCCTCATTTGCCCCACTAGTTAGTTTGCTGTGGCGACCTCTGAAGAAGAAAGCAGCCCCCCCCCCCCCCCACACACACACACACACAAAAATAACAATTAAAATCATATATACTGTATATATAAAACCTTTACAAACACAAACCACCAACATGGCCATGTCAGTCAAATTCACAGATATTGAACTAAAATTTGGCGTGGTAGTAGTTGCGAGTCATCCCCAGCACATACTCTGAGCCCAACAGTTCAAATAAAATCTCTGTTTAAAACTTTGGCGTGCAAAGTCCTTGGTCATGGCCAATTTTTCTGCTTCATTTTAACTTGATGCTATCCATCTAGTATTGAGATGCAAGACTAATTATTCCTTCTCTTTCCATCCCTTCAGGCCAGGAACGATTTGGGAACATGACACGGGTGTACTACAAAGAGGCTGTTGGGGCGTTCGTTGTGTTCGATGTGACGAGGGGTGCCACGTTTGAAGCTGTGTCTAAGTGGAAGCATGACCTGGACAGTAAGGTGAAGCTGGCTAACGGCAGCCCCATCCCTGCGGTGCTGCTCGCCAATAAATGTGACCAGAAGAAAGAGAATTCCAACAACGTAGCCTTAATGAACAGTTTCTGCAAAGAAGCTGGCTTCCTGGGCTGGTTTGAGACGTCGGCTAAGGTAACGAACGCATACAGGAACAGAGTATTGCGATAGACAAGGATTAGCAATAGTCATGATGTTTGAAAACTAATGTCAATGTTGGTAACATCATGATTTCACTTGATAAAATCACAATAAGTGGCTGCAGAGGAATTTTCTGTAAAAGATTTGCCAAAAAAGTACTAAAACTATAAATTGATGACAATTCTTGTTTTAAAGTTTTCTACAGAAATCCTAATGATAATGTTCTGTCTGTTTTTGAGTTTAATAATCTTGCAGTAAAATTCATAAAGGTTTTACTGGAATACTTTTTAGTAGACAAACCTTTCACTAACTGAAGCACGAGGTGTAAATATTATGTTCTGGGGTTGCTTCACCACATTGTGTAAATAGGAACTTTCAGTAGTCTATTTTATTGAGCTGTCTGCAAAGTGTGACATCATCATCATCACCCATTCACTCAAACGCAATGTTTACTTTTTCCTATTTGCAGTGCCACATGCATATACAGATGAGCTTTCAGATGGCCTTTGAAAGATCAGGGTTTTACTCAAAGACATTTAGTGTCTGCAGTTTGAATTACTCGGACTCTTGATTGGAAATCAGTCTCTCATTTATCTTTGCTACAATCTGTGAGGGGCAAGAAAACCTGGAATAAAAACCCAAACATAAATCCAACTGAGGTTTGTTGGAAGGACTTAAACGGAGATTTAAAAACCCTCTAAAATTGTGAAAGTTAAGCATTTTTTTTGCTTGAAAACAAACCTTTACCAAGTGCGAAAGAAAAAAGTATTATGGTACTTGCTGCCGTAACGTTGCACCGCCGTATGAGTCGCATCAGTCCAAAAATGTCTAATTAAGTGGTAAAAACATAAATAAGTCGCCTTACCGTATGAGTCGCATCTATTATGCATCACCGCTGACGCATAACGTTTGTGACCACATGGAAACGTGGGCCAGTGTTGTGCCAAAAATCAATCGGCTGCCAAATGGCGGCCACGGGAGCGTGCACGGGCGGACTTTTACAAGAATTTGACAAGTTTAACACTTAAAAACAATTTGTTTGCTCAACATTATAGCCAAAGTGTGTCTCAGTTGAACTTTCCCTTAATAAATGCACTTTAATGGTCAAATCAGCTGCATTTCGCCTGGGCGGCGCGACAAAATGCAGCTGATTTGACGTTTGCTCCAGGAGTTGTGGAGCGAGATGAAGGCAGTGCTATGGCAAGCCAAGTGTCTCAGTAATAGCCACTTTTACCTATTAATGAGACACTTGGCTTGCCATATCGGTCGAGGGCCTTCTAGAGACTGAAAATGGCAGTGGTCAATATTTTCCATGTCAGAATGAATGAAATCATCAGATCTCAGTCAAAAATTGGGTTATAAATATGGGAAAAAACATAAATACGTCGTTTCGCTGTATAAGTCGCAGGCATTCTAATTTATGCAAAAAACTGTGACTTGGACAGCAAAAAATATGGTACTATTATTAGTAGCAGTAGAATAAGCATGTATATTTTTTTTATCTGTAGGAACTGTTTGCTATTCTTCCCAATATTTGATGAACAAACTATAGCTTACATTTAAATGCTCACTCAGCTGACATGTTGCCATTTTTAAAATAGCTTTTCACTTCCCTTAAGTTATTCCGTGTGGACGTTTAGCTTCGTCTTATTGGCGCAATCCAGCTGTGGTTATTGTGAAACAGTTCGATGTTGTAATTGGATTTTCAGACAACATTTAGTTAGTTTCTAGCTTAGAATTCGGTGTAAAGTGTGGAAGGTGGTGTGGATCTGTTTAATTGGCTTTTTTTTCTGTGATTTTGGTAGTTAAGTAGTAAAAACAGCTTATTTTCACAGCCTCTGCCAAATGTTTCAGTTTCGAAATGGGAAAATGTCCCTTTAGTTCAAGAAAATTTGCTAAATAAGCAAGTCATGAGACTGACTCTTATACTCATGGAAATGTGACAATCTTTTCTTCATGCTTGTGAGAAATGTAGTGCTTAAAAATACTTAAGCTAAATGGCAACCTAAGAACTGCTTACTAGATTTCCATCTTTTATTAACTAGATGATTTTTTTTCTACAGGAACTTCTGTACACATTCTATTTTAAAATTCAACACATTTCTAACTATTTACAGCAATTCTAGATCAGGCTGTTCACTGAAACTAAACAATCCAGGATGATTCTTGGTCGGTTACATCACCAACAAGCCAACAATCACTTTATACGAGATCCAGATGTTGTTTTGGAGAACATTGCAAAGCGCAGCATACAATGCAGCGCTCCACTAGTCAGGACGTTTTGACAGCAGACAGACAAGGGTCTCTACTAAAAGATAGATGACTGGCAGCTGGGAATTTCCCCCAAGGCACCTGATAAATTTTTAATCATTTACAAATAAAATCTAATCTGATAAAAGTACCGTCAAACTACCGACTGTTGGGATAGCCTATGAGCTGTGCAGAAGAAACCAGGAAATAATTCTTCTAATTTAAATAAAGGAAATAATTCAAATGTTTTGAAATGATGTTCAGTCAAGTTTTTATTAATAATTAATATGTGCAGAATAAACATCTCAAAATGTTATCAGTTTGGAAAATCAGGGGAGACAAACTAACAGCTAGCCTTGTCTATTTTAGGTAATATATTGATGACCAATAACATCACCTCAGGACACCACTTCCAAAAAGTCAAAACTATCAGGGCCTCATCATGCCGGCAAAAAATTAAAAAACAAACAAACAAAATCTTCAGATTGCTTCGTCTCTTACACTGGAGAGATTTTTATATTTGAACAAGAAAAACAACCTAAGTTGAGGCTTTGGGAAACTTTAGTTAACGTACTGGAGTTACACTCAAGGGATGGTTGTCCTTCAGCAATCTAAGCCTATAGCAGCATAAGTAAGGGGTAGCTCAGGAAACCCAATCTGACCATAACTATAGGATTTATCAAAAAGGAAAGTCTTAAGTCTAATCTTAATGTGTCAGCCTCATGGACAGAAACTGGAAGTTGGTTCCACAAGAGAGGAGCCTGATAACTGAAAGATCTTCCTCCCATTCTGCTTTTGGAAACTCTAGGAACCACAAGTAAGCCTGCAGTCTGAGAGTGAAATGCTCTGTTAGGAAAATATGGAACAATAAGATCTGTAATATAAGATGGAGCTAGGTTGTTGAGGGCTTTGTAGGCTAGAAGTAAGATTTTGAATTCTATTCTGGACTTGACAGGGAGCCAATGGAGAGAAGCTCAAACTGGAGAGATATGATCTCTCCTACTAACTCCAGTTAAGACTCTGGCAGCAGCATTTTGGATTAACTCAAGACTTTTTAAAGAAGTTTTTGGACATCCAGTTTTTTTAAACCATTGCAATAGTCCAGTCTAGACGTGATAAATGCATTAACCAGATTCCCTGCATCATTTTTCGACAAGATAGTTCTAATCTTATGCAGCCCAATTTATAACCAGTACAGGCAAAAGAGAGCACATTACACCAGTTTTGGCCTCACTGCACTGGCTACCGGTTCACTTTCGAATCCAGTTCAAAATACTCATGTATATCTACAAATCGCTGAACAGTTTCGCGCCCCCCCCCCAATCTCTCTGATCTGCTACAATCGTATGTCCCACCATGCTCCCTGAGGTCAGCGAACCAGTTGCTTGTCACAGTTCCAGGAACTCGTCTTAAGCGCAGAGGTGACAGGGCCTTCTCTGTAGCAGGACCAAGACTCTGGAACGAGTTACCTCTTCTTGTCAGACTGGTCCCCTCCCTCTCAGTTTTCAAATCCCGTTTAAAAACTCACTACTATTCAGTAGCATTCAACACCAGATGATCTGTGTTTTGAACCTGTACGCTCCACACTGGTTTGTCGTCATTATCTGCATCGATTTTATGTCTATATTTCTGATTTACTTCATTTTGTATTTTGCTTTGTGTGTTACCTGTTGTTCTGTCTGTACAGCACTTTGGTTGGCCTTGTAGCTGTTTTAAGCGCTCTATAAATAAAATGGTATGGTAATATTAGTGATATTACACAGGTGGAAGAAATTCCTGGTAACTTTTTTTAATGTGGGGGTTAAAAAACATGTCCTGATCAAAAATAACACCAAGGTTTTTGACTTTAAAACTGGAGGCCAAATTAATGCTATCTAGAGGAAGTGCTGCAAGGTTGATTCCTAGGTCCCAAAACAACAACTTATTTTCCTGGCAGTGTATAGCTTCGGAGTAAATAGAACAATAAATCCCACTGAGGTGTAGTGGAATGGCAGTAATCCAAATATAAAAGTATTAAAAACTGTCCACATGTACCTCCTTCCTTTCAGCAGTTGTTATTGTTATAAATGTTTTCCCCAGTGAAATTAAATTTTTTTTTTGTCCTGTTAGGGATGTAAAACAATGGATTTGTGCTGCAACTTAAATTCTGAGTCTTTATTGTTAATATTGATGAGACGTCTGATCTTAGCTGATATTGCGTTATGTATAAATCATCAGCTAGTTACAGTACAAAAGCAATATGCTCTTTATGATAGGAGATAAATTAGAAATAATAAACTTTCTGATGAACAGCAGCATATCAATTTTTATACGCCAATTATGAAAGAGTTGGAATATTGTGTCAACTGTCAATAAAAACACAATTTAATGATTTGAAAATCTTATGAACCCATATTTAATTTACAGTGGAACACAGTGCATACATTTATTGCCCTTTGTGCACAGACATTTCTCCAGTTTCTTGAAATGAACAGTAGATAATGGGATATTCAGTCTTCAGAATTTTCCATTAAGGAACATTATTCTGAAATTGTTTCACTAATTTAAATGCAGTTTTTTTTTTTTTGCAGACTGGTGAACCTCTTTACATCTAAGAGATGGAACAGAGTCATTAAAATGCTCTTTTTAAACCTACGTTTTTTACTGACCTGTTGCTAATTAACCTAAAGAGTTGCAGAATGTTCCTTTAGGTGTTCCCTATTCGTACCACTTATTTTAACAGCCTTTTGTCACCCCATCCTGTCTATTTTGAGGTGTGTTGCTGCTGAAAATTTCAAAATTTATTTTTTTCCCCAAAATGTTAATTCTTAGTTTACCGGTATCCGTTCTGTGCCATGTCCCATTTAGAATGAAATATGAGTTTATAAGATTTATAAATCACTGCATTCGTTTTTTCCCCACATTTTACTTGATGTTTTCAAAATTGAGGTTGTCTTAAGATCACACACTAAGCATTGTTCTCATTCATATTTTTATCACCTACTTTTCTCATCACAGTACCTCTTTCTCACCAAGGTTTTCAGTATAAAAAAAACCCCCTAACTGACTAAAATTTTCCACTCAGTTTTAAATGTACACGTCCGTCACTCTACTTATAGTGACCATTCCATGCTAAAGAAATCTGTTATACTTCTGAAATGAATTAACATTATTATAGAACTCTGGAAAAACTGAGTCCTAGGGCAGTGTCATGTGAAGTGTGTGTGTGTGTGAGAGAGATGAATGCAGTAAAGTACTGGTGTGACTGCTGGTCACGTTAGTCTGAAGCTCCGCCCACAACAACCTGTGATGAGAGATGTCTGGATTACAAAGCACGTTGTTTTCTTGAGGCCATAAACAGAGAATGCTGCAGTCATGATGACGTCTGCAACAGTTTCTTGAGCTTGAAGCAGAGTATCACGACTTTGACATTAAGAAACACCCTTTTTACTTTCAGTTTTTGTCCTACTACGTCTTTGTGAAGATGTAATCAACAGCAAGAATGATAAATTGTGATTATTTCACATTCTCTTGAATAACAATGACTGCAACTCATCACTGACTTGCTCCTAAACAATGAAGAAAACAATAGAAAGTCAGCAGTGCAATACATTGCTTTTATGAATACTTTATAAAACAGTTTCAAAAATAACAAAAAAAAAACTGCATTTTTTTTTTCATTCATTCAAGCTTTATTTAGACAGGTAATCCCATTGAGCCTCGAGGACTCATTTACAAGAGAGACCTGATAATTTAAATAAATTTCCTGTGAAAATGCAGTGTGAATACTTATTGCTGAAGAACTTGCAGAAAAACAGCTGAAAATATGTAAAAGACATGCTGAATTTTAGCTGAAAAGGAAGAACAGCCCTAAATTAGCAGAAGAAAGCAGAAAGAACACATATTTGCTGAATTACGTTTAAATAAGCTCAAATGAGCACAGAAATTATGCAATTAGCTAAAAAAAAAAAAAAAAGAAGGCTGAAATGAGTGAAAAGTAGCTGAAAAGGCAGAAAGAAGCTTAAGTGACCAGAAGGAAGTGGAAAGAGCTGGAATGAGCTTAAAAAAAAAAAAAAAGTGGAATTAGTTGAAAAAGCTAAAATTAGCAATGCATAAAAACAGCTAAATAGTAGCTAAAATTGCAGAAAAAGCTGAAACTACCAGAAAAAAGCTGAAAGATGCATAACATGATGAAATTAGCTGAAAGAAGTGAATTAGGCTGAAAGTAGCAAAAACACCATGAAAAACTGGAATTTATTTGAAAACAGCTGAAATTAGCTATAAAAAGCTAAAAAATCTAGCTGAAAAAGTAGGGGGGAGTGGTGGCGCAGAGGTTAGAGAGGTGGGCTTGAGATCCGAAGATCACCGGTTCACGCCCCGGCCCCGACAACATCAAAATTGTGGGTGGGGTAGGTGAAACACCCACACTTGCCCCCACCCTCATTCGCCCCACCCTGGGCCCATGAGCAAGGCCCTTAACCCCCTCTTGAAAATGAGTTCTCGTGGCTCAATGAGACTACCTGGATAAATAAAGGCTAAATGAAAAAAAAAAGAACAAGCTTAAATTAGCGGAAGGAAGCAGAAATGAGCACAAAAAAGTGTAAATTATCTGAATAAAGCTGAAATAAACAAAACAACAACAAAAAAACACTGAAAAGAAGCTAAAAATGTAGAAAGAAGCTTACATTTCCAGAAGGAAGTGGAGGGAGCACAATTTTGCTGTATTGGACTGATAAAAGTTGAAATGAGTGCAAAAAAATGTGGAATTAGCTGGAAAAGCTAACATTTGTATAAAACAGCTAAATAGTAGCTGAAATAGCAGAAAAAAGTTGAAACTTGCACAAATACCAGTAAGCTGAAAGGAATAAAATAAGCTGAAATTAGCAGAAAGAAGTTAGAAGAGCACAAAAATGTCCTAGCAAAACAAATCGAAGGATCACAAAACAGCTGAAATAAGCTGAAAGTAGCTGAAAAAAGTGTACATTTGCACAAGGAAGCTGAAATAAGCTGAACCAGGGCAAAATGTGAAAGGAGCAATAAAAGTTTGTAAACATATCTAAAGATCTGAAGGATGTAAAGTTTGAAAATCTTATAAGGAAAGAAAATGGGAGAAAAGGCTAAATATTTCAAAAAGCTAAAGTTGTACCAATACCAAAAGTCATAGCAAAAGTTCATCCTGAAAGAGCTGAACGTTTTGATATATGGTTTATTGAAATGGCACAAAAATTGTGGAATGAGAAAGATGCCGAAATGTATGGAAGAAAAATGGATCACAACAGTGTGAATGCTTCATAAACATTCACACAATTAGTTATGATTTTTCAAAGTGGGGTTCTCATACAAGCTTAAACAGTTAATATCTTACTTGTTGTAGATATCTCTTTGCTCACTGTTTTCTTGTTTTATGAGCATTTAATCACTTGTCTGACACGAGTTTTGTTGTTTCCTCAGGACAATGTCAATGTGGACGAGGCAGCCCGTTTCCTGGTAGAGAATATCTTGGCTAACGACAAAGGTTTGCCGTACGAGGAGAACAATGGAGACCAGATCAAACTGGACCAGGAGACTGTAGCTGCTGAGAGCAAGTCAGGCTGCTGCTAACACTCAGTCCACTCACATTAGCCATCCACTTCCCTCTGGTAAGGTCTAGTGAGTTCAAGCAGCCCCGTGGCTCCATCTCTCTGATGCACACTCGAAGAGGAATATACTAGTTTTTTTGTTTTTTTTTGGTTTGTTTTTTTAAAACAAAATTTTTCTCTCTCTTTTTTTTTTTTTTTTGTGGTTGCTTCAAAGCTCCAGGAACTTCTCTCTGCTGCACTGATGCCAGTTTGACCTGTGCAACAAAAGTTCTCATTACCCAGTTTTCATTTGATATCAGCGCCATTCTTTTCAGCGCATTTATGTTTAGATTTTGTTCCATTAAAACTTTTTATGCAGGCCCACTCTACCAACTGTTGCCCTGACAACCTCTCACCGTAAGTCTTGGGAACATGAAAAAGGTGCAAACTAAAGAGAAAGTTGAAATAGCATGGATGAAAATAAAATATCTGTAGCCTTTTGATTGTCACTTTAGTGTATCTCTTTTGGTATCCTGTGTATAATTTGCCATTTAGCAATCTGTAAAAAAAAAGTTATTTTTGTGCTCTTTTTTTATTTTGGTGTTCATAGATGACCATTATGTTTACAGCACAGATTGTATATCTCCAGCTGTTCTTATTATTAGACTACTTTTAGCAAGTGGACATCACTGTAAAGCATTGTAAGAATGTTATTATATGTGAAATTGCTGACAAAATGTATAGTCTTTATCCCCTTCTTCCTATAAGGTTTTGTGCCTTAACACTTATTAGATGAACTAAAGGGTAGATATCCTGATGCATGCTCAAAATGCTAAAGGGTAGATATTTTTTTTTAAAATTCTTTACACAATGAACAAACTGACGATGCAAAGTAATAATGCAGTATTTCACACACACACACAAATACAACCATTGATGGTACTATAAGATATGATGTTTCTGTGGGTATTGTTGTGTAAATTTACAATATGTTCTTTTAAAATGTTTTGTGTTACTGATGCGGAGTAAAACCAGAGCCAGACAGAGGACTACACTGTTTTTGTACATGGCAATCTTTTCAAGTGTTGATAAAATGTAAATACTGTTTTTAAACATGTTTACACGTAAAATGCTTTTGATTTCTAAAACCAAAGTAGAATAAACATTTTAACAAGATTTTTGTCATTCTTTTGTGATTGGGTTGTCTGTTTAATTGTATTTAACATATTCAAAGCGTTTTTTTTTTTAATATTCAACAAAATATTACACCTCATTAATTCAGTCAATTTACTTGTATAATTACTGATAGACACGTTTTGTTAATCAGGTAACGCTGTGTGCCATTCATCATTAAAGCTTTGGTATTTGGCTTAAATAACAAACCATTTTTTTGGTCCTTGATTGAATTTACTGTGCTATTGCTTAAAGCAAATCTTTCCACTCAGTTTCCCCTTCATCTTGATGCAGCATGTTAGGATTTAAATTTTGGGAATCTGTTTTTCTTTACTTCAGTACAACTGTTCGGAACTTAAATCATATGTCTGTTTTGACTTTTATCTGTTTAAAATGTTTGACGTGTGTTAGGTTTTATTATTTCAGGATTATAAGTAAAGCAGCATGTATTCAAATTTTAAAACTTGTCTGTGAAGAAAAGCCCATCGTGAAACCAGCCCAAGCTGTATGAGGAAGTCATCAAACATGGTTCACATGCAAGTACATGTATATAAAAATGTGAAAAAAAAATCTCACGGCATTAACAAGTGATACATCTGTGGTGGACTAATTTATATCAGACCGACTCTACAACTACATTAATACTTTTTGGTGAAATTTCTAATTAGAATATCCAGAAATGTTAATTAGGACAAATGCACTTGTGCCTATTTCACATTAGGAAAAGTGTTTTCATTTTACTTAGAACAAATTACATTTTAAAATTGCCACCTGTACATTTAATATATTTTGATATCATTAAATTGTTCTATTACAGTCTCAGTTACAGAGATTGAAATAAACTTCAACAGTAGGAAAAAAAATTTCTGATGTTTTTAATTTTAATTCTATTTAGGACTTCATTTTACTCAGGAAGTTGACTATAATAAACAAAGGAAGCGATCTGTGGTTTGAATAAATGCTCAAACGACCTGCCATACTAGTTTAGACCCCTCCTTCTTTTAGAAGACCGGTTGCGTAGCAACGACTAAACTTCGACACGTTAAAAAACATTGTTAAACCTCTGTCGGCCCGTTTAGTATTTATTTTCGCTTTGTTGTTGATTTAGTGCTTCTTTTACCAACTACAATGTCCAAAACACAAATAAAGAAAAAGGACTCGACAAGCAAGGTGTCTTTATCTGACCGGCGTTCAGAGTGAGTTTAAGCTAACTTCGCAAATTAACGTGGATTTAGCATTTGCTCCACAAAGTTGGACGGAAATGCAAAAAAAAAAAAGACTGCTAGCATCTTGATAAGAAATTCGGTTAATATTAGCTTGCCACGTGCATGTTTCATGTTGTCAAAGAGTTTAATTGCCAGAGGAAAAACAGCAATACAGGACAATTTTAGCCATGAATTTGTCGTGATTTCAGTGCTGCTGCGTCTGTGGCTAATTCGTCCGAGAACCTCGGAGGTGTGGGGAGACACAGATTCCCCATTTGGCCTGAGTGGAGTGATGCTGAAGTCAACAAGGAGAAGTGGGACGCCTATAAAGGACCTGAAGACAGGACGTTAAACAGAAGTCCTAATTCTGTACATACTTAAAGTTTACAATATTTACATATTGTCACGTCTCAATGTAAACTGGATTGGTTTCCCTTTTTTTTTATTTCACATTCTTTTAGCAGCCATATTTTGAAGATCCGGAGGGGAAAGTTTCTCTGCCTTCAACTTTGAAGGTGCACACCTGGAAGCGTCCCGCAGAGTTTGTTGTTGAAAAGGTAACTAAAGTTTGACACATTTGTAAGATGTACATGTTTTATTATGATAAAATACAACTGTGTACTTGGTGAAAACTGTTAATACAACTGACCAATATTGTAGTTATAATTACTCAATTCTGCCACATTAAACCCACAAATGCATGTCAATTGTGATAGGTTCTGCAAAGAAACACTGGGTCCAAATGTTCAGTACTTTGAGCTACACTGATCTAAACCTATAACTCATACCACTTTAGCAGGGGTCAGCAACCTGCGGCTCTGGGGCCGCAAGCGGCTCTTTGGTCCATCTACAGCGGCTCTTTTAAGCTTTGACCAAAACTAAGATAAAACTGAATTTTATTGGTTATTATAATAAAATAAAAAGGGGTCATTTTAAAGGGCAGCACGGTGGTGCAACTGGTAGAGCTGCTGCCTCTCAGCGAGAAGGTCCTTGGTTCAAACCCCGGTCCAGGGGCCTTTCTGGGTGGAGTTTGCATGTTCTCTCTGTGCATGCGTGGGTTTTCTCCAGGTACTCCAGTTTCCTCCCACAGACCAAAAACATGCATGTTAGGCTGATTGGTAACTCTTAATTGTCCCTAGGTGTGAGTGAGAGAGTGAATGGTAGTTTGTCTCGTTTGTCTCTATGTGTCCCTGTGATGGACTTGCGACCCGTCCAGGGTGTACCCCGCCCCTCGCACAGTGATTGCTGGACATGGGCACCGGCAACCCCCGTGACCCAAAATGGAATAAACGGGTAAAGATAATGGATGGGGTCATTTTAACATTCTTCCTGTCTTTTTTTTTTTCTTCAAAATATTAGAATTGTAGAACAATACAAAGAGTAAAGCATACTCACTTTATGCTTTATCTCTTCAAAGTAGAATATTTAATATCTCCACGTTAAAAAATTAAATTATAGACCTGCATAGTTCATTGCTTCAAATTTTACAAAATTGTTATATTTTTCATTTCTTTCCTTACAACAATCCGGTCTTTTCTTTTGTCTTGAATTGTACAAATATCAAATGTTAAAAACCATTTGATAGTTTTAGTTTTATAAAATCCACCCTATACTGACTAGAAAAGCCCCCTCCAACAATCTTGAAGTGGTTCACAGTCCACCAGTTGATGATCACAGTTGGACCAGATTGTTGTGGCTCCAGACACACTTCATTTAGTGAACTAAGGTGCATAAAGGGCTCTTTTGATCATCAAGGTTGCAGACTACTGCTCTATTGTCTGTCTATCTATGTATCTATGTACACTATCTAGTGTCATTTGGCAATGCATTTTGGGTGAAATGTTTTACTGCCAGTTTACATGAAAACACTCACAATATATATTATTATACAATTTATATTATTTGATTGGTATAATATATTCCAAAATACTTATTTGTTGGCTTTAGCTTCTCAAATAGACAGTTATTTTACTTCTATTACTATAAAAAAAATTTTGTTAGCAAACTGAAGGCTGTGTGCTTTCTTTAGCGTTTTCCAGTTAGTTTATATTGATTTATACTAGACTGTCAAATAAAAAAATAATATTCTATCCAAAACCATACAGTATAATTTTCCCAGCATCACAATTTGACAATGTCTTCCTTTTTGCTTCACAATGTGTTTGAGACAAGTTATCTCATCGCCTGCCTCCAATAAGTTTTAATTGCTTCACTCCACTTTTCTTGTGCAGTATTCAGCAATTACTGGAAGTTTCCTGTTATTTCGAATCAGACCTTGCTGGATCATACGCTGCCTTTTCACTCAGCTCGTTGAAACCATTTCATTAGTTTCATACTAAAGGAAGCTAATCGCAAACGCAATTAGCCATGCAGATGAAAGTGGCAGCTCATCTGTGATGTTCTGTCTCCAGCAGTCTACATTTCTGCACTTTCAAAGGCAAATGTGACTTTTAACAATGTTATTTTATGGCTATTTTATTGTAATAATGAAAAACTGTCATGCATTATTTATATGACAATACTGGGGTTCAGTCCAATATGTCTACAACAAAAATAATAATGTGCTTGACTTTAGGAACTCACTGTGGTTGACAACCAAAATAATTTTGACCTCATCTCCCCCAACCATCATCTCTTCTATTGTGAGGTTAGTTTTCAGCATGATTTGTATTAGTTTCAAGGTATTAGTTTTTTGCTTAGTGTTAAAAAAATACAATTTAGATGTCCACTGATTTTTACCTGCAACAAAATAATATATATATATTTACTCTTTCTCTCACCTCTTAAGCTGATGAGATGGATCGTCAGTGAGATTTATATTGTTTGGATGCTTCATGACCATACATCTACACAGCAAGAAGGTTGGAAACCCTGGGAGCACATCTTTTCACTGTGCAAGGTGGTGAAAGGTCATGTGCCACTTTACAACAGCTACGGGAAGTACGCAGTCAGACTTTACTGGATGGTAAGTCCTAAAAAGACATAAATGCATACAGATACTGTATTCCCACCAAAAAATTCTAACAAACAAAAAAAAAAAATGTTGAAAATTTCTTGTGATCTAAAATGCTAACCATGGAAGGAGACCCTAACTTTGTCACCTCTTCAGAAGTTGTCCCTGTCACAACCTCTTTGTTAATCATGCATGTTTAGGGGCACAGTTGCATGGCATAGAATTTAAATTTCTTTTTGTCGCGGATCACATGGTTCAGCAGATGAAAGGAGAACGGCGTGGACGGGGAAGGGGATGGATGGGAAAGCGTTATCCTTAGAGCTCAAATCAATCAGTCTCACGGTAGCGCCAATACGGACGAGGCTTTACTGCCTGTTGAATAGATAAGACTTAACAGGAGTCGGCTGCTTTTTGAACAACAAGGCTCAAGTTGGATTTCTCTGCTCATGACGTTTCAAGTAGACACAAGGCACGGACGGTTTTATACAAAGCAACGTCATTCATTCTGATTTTATACAAGTTTTAGAATTTTACACGTTGTGACTCCACATTAAAGGTCATCTTTGGGATGTAATACAGTGAGTTTTCTCCTATGTGTAACTTGCCACAGATTTCTAAGCAAAGGGCACTACATCATTTTAAGAGAGCAAACTTTCATAAATGAGTTATTAATAAAGAATAAAAATCAAGGACAAGTATTATTTTTTGTCTGTTTCACAATTATTTTTTTGCTTTGACAAACAAGCATGACACAGTTGTAAGCAACACTTGCTGTGCCAACTCTATTCATCCTAACAGATGGAAGTTATGATGCTATTAAGCATGCAGCCTTTACTACCCCCATTTTTCCTTCTTTTGTTCGTACGCTTCTGCTTTTTCTCCAATATCACTTATTTATCCAAGTATTTTCTTTCTTTTTTTAAAAAAACTCATATTCTTTCCTAAGTGTCTGAAATAATCTAACAATATCTCTCTGATGCTCATGCTAACTGCAACAGGGCCACTCTGTCCTGCAGTGTTTAACTCCATCGTGAACACATTTCCCCTCACTGTATATACAATGCAGTGTTTGTTCAAAATGTGCTAATAAAGACATGAATGTCTGTGAATAGTCAGTTACTATCTCCAGATTGGGCTTGTTTTCTTTACATTAAATGTGAACCCCCATCCTTCTATGTAACTGATATACAAACCTCTAACACAGTTCTAGCTAAAAAGATGCAATTATGAGTAGGCCAATGCCAAGAGATGTATTAAAACTCAATTGATCACACAATACATAAAAAGCAATTGATTGTCAGTTTATATATTGAACTTTTCTCCCCTCATGCTGAAGGTTGCGGAGCATTAAATGTAGAACCACTAGACTAAGGGACAGCTTCTACCCTGAAGCTGTTAGACTCATGAATCCCTAATCAGGATTATCACTGTAAAAAAAAATCACTGTAATGTCACTCGATTGTTATGTGCTGCTGACTATCCATGCTGCTGATTTCATGCTGTTGATTTATTTCATGCTGCTGTGTTCACTCGTACTCTGCTCACACAGACTCATGTTCGTGCTGCTGTTGTTCGGCGTATTGTTTTTGCACTATTAAGTAGGGCTGTCGCGATAAACAATAAATCAATTAATCGCATGATAAATGAAAATTATCAACCTCATTTTCGTTGATCAGATTTATCGTTTCTTTGTCTCTCTCCTTCTACTGAAGACACTGGATGACAAAAGGTTCAGCTCTGGTGCTCTTTATTGACCCCTCCCTTTCTCTTTAAAATTCATTTTAATCCTCAAAAAATCTAATTTTTGGATCGTTAAAAGCAGCTAAGCTGAGAAGCTAAGCTACGAGATACGCTAACACGCCGACCTCAGGAAAAAACCTGTCTTGTTGAAGTTCCAAAATTCACAGTTGAAACCCGTGCCTTCGTGTAAAAAGTTGTTTTTCTGTGCAAAAAGAATCTGAAAACTTGTTACTGATTTTTTTGTTAAAAGCTTTGTGCGAAAAATGCTATGCTAAAGAGCTCAAACCACACCGAGCTTCCGCCATTTTGAAAACTGGAAAAAAAGGAAAGAGAGACAGCTCATGTTATGTCAAGGGGCCTCCCAGCCATTTTTCTTAAAGAGACATGCTGCTCACTCCTTCGCTATCCATCCTTTGGTTCAAACAGTCTTATGCTGCCATCCGGTGATCAAAAAAGGTACTACTTACAAAACAAATTAACCAACATTTCTTCTTAAATTTGACAATAATTACTCAAACAATTATATCGTTTATCACAATAATTTCTGAGACAATTAATCACCCAGCAAAATTTGTTATTGTGACAGGCCCAAGCATCACTACTCAAAACTTGATGTTCCCAAAGCAGTGATGGCCAAGGGGCATCAAACAAGTGAATGTTAGGATTTTAAATAATAATGAAAAAAGTATTAGTACACGTACTATCAGGGTAGTGTTTACCTGGTAGAAGGCCATTAACCATTCATGAAACAATGATACTGAACATATATTTGCTCTGGCTGTTGTGCTGCTGCTCGTTGATAAGGATTTTGCAAGAATGAAATCGTAAGTTATAAAATCAGTTGGGCAGTATTTAGATTAAGAGTATATAATTATGTAATTTAGATCAAACTATATTTCATTTGCAGGAAGTTAGGAAACTGATGCCTCCATTTCTAAATAAATTGCCTTTTATGGGTTTTCTAGTCCTGTTCGTTTTTTTAATTTTAAGAATAACAAATGTTTGTTTTTATGTTTTACTATCAGATCCTTAATGAATAATAATGGCTGCAACTCAGCACAGTTTTGTGCCATTTCAATTTTCTGTGTAAGGAAAGTGGTTGAACCATTCTAGAACTGTAAGTTATTTCAGCAGCTCACAACTGTTTTACTATAAGTGTTTTATTCTGCATTTAACTGAAAACAGCTAGGAGAACGAATAAATAAGTTTTAAGGTGCTATCAGGTCAAGGTTTTTTTAGTGCATTCCTTTGAATGTTTACCTAAATTACTCTAGTCTTGTTAGAACTGGAAAAAAAAAACAAAAAACTTATATTTGAGGTGCATTAATGATTTTGTTTCTTCTCTCCTCCCTTTTTGTCTTCAGGGTTCTTGGCGAAAGATAACTGTAGATGATTCTTTGCCATTTGATAATAGGAACAAACTGCTTCTCCCAGCCTCCACCTGTCGATCAGAACTGTGGCCCATGCTGCTGGCTAAAGCTCTAATCAAAGTGGCCTGCACAAAGTGAGCAACCAAACATCCTAACAAACCTCTGTAAGCGTCTTAACGCTATACCATTATAGTCCTCTGTAAGGCTGCTGTAGAGCATTCTTGACCTTATTCCAAGGAGATTTAGCTGCAGCTTGACTTCGAAAATACCACTGAAAAATGAATCCTAAAGTACCTACACTAAGTATTTGTATTTACCATGCTGACCTAAAGTGTTGCTATAATATAAAGGCTTTTACCTAGCTTTTACCTATAAACTTTTACCTAGTTTCAAATAGATTTCAAGTAATTTACAGTAAATCATGTGATGTGTGCACATTTTCTTTTTTAATTCAGTAAAGACATTATAAAACTACAATTCCATATAATTATTTTTGATGAGCCTTTTAAAAAAACCCACTGAAATAAGGCTTTATCTGCAATTCTTTTAGAGCAAGATTACCTGCAAATAATTCTTGAATCTGTGAAAAATAAACAATTTACGGCTCACACATGTGCACAGGAGCTCTCACAAGCCTCCACACGATCTAATCTCAGCCCAGATTGTTAGCAACTGAATTCGGTGACAATGTTCAAGTCAGAGCTGGAGGATCTTATTGTGTTTAAAGATGCTTGTTCCTGTGCCCATAGAAGGTCAAGACATAAATGTTTCATCCTGCACAGGAAAACAAAGCAGCCTCTCACCTATGAATCATATAAGTCATGAAGAAAGCTATTTGTAATGAAATGGAATTAAACTTTGCCCAGGTCTCTGCCCCCCCCCCCGCCCCCCCTCTCAATTTAGCAACAGTTTGTTGTAAAAAGAACCCAGTTCTACTGATTTCATTTAGTCATGTATGACCACCAAGTTGGTCACAGGATCTCAAAAGATTTAATTGTGTGTATATTAAATCTCTGAATCTGTATTTTTTTTTGGATCATATTTATGCTTGTTTTTCAGTACAGTGTTCAACGATGGCAGGGAGATGGGCCAGTTTACTTTTATTCACAATCTCGCTGGCTGGATCCCTGAAATTATTCCTATAAAGTAAGTTTCTGATTATTGACTCTAGTTGTCCACAGTGTACATCTGAATGTGGTCATATCTGCACAAAACAATGCTCAAATGTATTTTTTAATCATGAGGAGATGGCATAACTGCTTGTATTTTAAGATCTTTCTATTTGAAATTTGGCTTTATAAAATAAATTTCGGTCAAAAACTACATAAAGCATTTTTAATTAGCTGTTGAATGCAGCTTTGTAAAGTCATTTAAGCAAAACTTTTTTATTTGCAACCCGTATTTTTTTTTCACTCTTTTTAGATCAGTGTACTCATCAAGTGTCTGGGATTTCCTCCAAGACACCATTCCTAAATTTAAACAACAGGATGAGAGTTTGACAGTGACAAAACCTGACATGGCAGATCCTGCTGCAGGGACAGATTCTTCTCCAAATGACAATAAGAGTCTGCTGCCGGAGTCAAACATCAGCAAAGGTCTAGACTGTGACACACACAGATACATACACACACACTATTCTTACACTAACTGAAAAATCAGTAATGAATATACAAATGCAAAAATTGCTTTTACATGTGATTAAGTTAACTGAATTAATTTTCCATATTATGGTATTTCTTATGCATTTATTTAGAATCACACTTATGATTTGTAGTCAAGTCTATTTGCTATACAGATGTGCTCTATTTATCCATCCATCCATCCTTCCATCCATCCATCCATCCATCCATCCATCCATCCATCCATCCATCCATCCATCCATCCATCCATCCATCCATCCATCCATCCATCCATCCATCCATCCATCCATTATCTTTACCCGTTTCTTTCTTTACGGGTCACGCGCGCGCGGGGGGGGTTCACTGGTGCCCATGTCCAGCCACCACTGTGCAAGAGACGGGGAGACTTGGACAGGTCTCAGTCCATTACAGGGACACATGGAGACAAACGAGACAAACAACCATTCACTCTCTCTCACTCACACCTAGGGGCAATTTAGAGTTACTAATCAGCCTAACATGCATGTTTTTGGTCTGTGGGAGGAAACTGGAGAACTCGGAAAACTCACGCATGCACGGAGAGAACATAAAAACTACACCCAGAAAGGCCCCCGGATGGTATCTGAACCGAGGCGACCTGCTTGTTGAGAGGCACCAGCCAACTGTGCCACCGTGCTGCCCTGTGCTCTATTTACTGTAATATATTTTGCTTTGTATTTACTTGCTTTATATTTGTTAATGCATGTCAAATAATGCATACTCTTAAAAAACACACTTATCAACAAATACTGTACTGTTTAACTGCTGCAAAAATACTCTTTACAACCAAAAAAGTCCATGCTCAATAATCCAGGTATACAATCCAACAATTTTCAGTCAGGTCATCTGGACAGTTTCTTTTTTTGTGCTGAAACGTTTCACCTTCCATCCAGAAGGCTTCATCAGTCAAGGAAACACAAACACAAAACTGATTCTGTTTCCTTGACTGATGAAGCCTTCCGGATGGAAGGTGAAACGTTTCAGCAAAAAAAGAAACTGTCCAGATGACCTGACTGAAAAATGTTGGATACTCTTATACAAAAAATGTTTTGGTGATTTCCTATAAAACATATTTTAATGCCACTATTATCTCATACTACATATAATGCATAGTTTTTAGGCCACTTCCATAATGTCTCTTTCCTCTCTCAAACTAACTTTTTGCTGTCCTGTGTTCACATTTCATGGAGCTCATGGAGGGTTAAGGCATAAACGGTGGACCATAAATAAACCAGCAGATGGAGCAGTAGAAAGGTGAAATATCTGGCCCTCCTTCAGAGCAGAGGAGCTTCCCAAGTCAAATGTGGTTGTCTGGAGAAGTCAGAGTTCAAATATGTCCTCTGAGTTCTTTTAAAGTCATAGTAGTACTATAAAGTCCTTTGCAATTGTAGTCTTTAGAACATTAATTATGCTTAAACTGTGTTGAATAATTTTCCTAGAAATAAAATTCAATTCTGTTTATTTATATAGCACCAAGTCACAACAGAAGTTGTCTCAGAACAATGTACAAAAATATTCATATACATAAAAATCCAGTTAGTAAAAAGTATCCATCTATGATTGTGTTGAATCTTCATTTTGTCGCAGTCTCCCATCCCGAGCAAGCACAAAAGCAACAGTGGGAAGGAAAACCTCCCTTTTAACAGGAGGAAACCTCCAGTAGAATCAGGCTCAGGACAAGTGGCCTCTGCTTCAACTGGCTGAGGTTTAAGAGGACAGGAAGGAGAAAACAAACAAACGTCAGGTCCAGATGTACTTTAATTGGAGGAAAGACAAAAAACTTGTTAAGGATAGAAATAATTACAAATACAAACAGGTAGAGTAGAGCAAGTAAAGACCGCAGCAGAGTGAGGAAATGTGGTCAATTTGTCCTCCCAACAGTCTAAGCCTACAGCAGCATAACTAAGGGATAGCTCAGTAAACCCAAGCAGACCTTAACTATAGGATTTAACAAAAAGGAAAGACTTAAGCCTAGTCTTAAAAGTAGACAATGTGTCAGCCTTACAGACAGGAACTGGAAGTTGGTTCCACAAGAGAGGAGCCTGATAACTGAAATATCTTCCTCCCATTCTGCTTTTGGAAACTCTAGGAACCACAAGTAAACCTGCAGTCTGAGAGTGAAGTGCTCTGTTATGAAAATATGGAACAATAAGGTCTGTAATATAAGATGGAGCTAGGTTGTTTAGAACTTTGTAGGTTAGAAGTAGGTGGTGGGAGGGTGCGTGGGAGTTTGCCCAACCGGTCTACATGTGGACTTGGAGAAGGCATTCGACCGCGTCCCTCGGGGAGCCCTGTGGGGAGCCCTGTGGGGGGTACTCTGGGAGTATGGGGTACTGGACCCTTTGATACGGGCTGTTAGGTCCCTGTATGATCGGTGTCAGAGCCTGGTCCGTGTTGCCGGCAGTACAGGTCCTTCTCAAAAAATTAGCATATTGTGATAAAGGTAATTATTTTCCATAATGTAATGATAAAAATGAAACTTTCATATATTTCAGATTCATTGCACACCAACTGAAATATTTCAGGTCTTTAATTGTTTTAATACTGATGATTATGGCATACAGCTCATGAAAACACAAAATGCCTGTCCCAAAAAATTAGCATATCATGAAAAGGTTCTCTAAACAAGCTATTAACCTAACCATCTGAATCAACGACGTAACTCTAAACACCTGCAAAAGATTCCTGAGGCTTTTAAAAACTCCCAGCCTTGTTCATTACTTAAAACTGCAATCATGGGTAAGACTGCCGACCTGACTGCTGTCCAGAAGGCCATCATTGACACCCTCAAGCAAGAGGGTAAGACACAGAAAGAAATTGCTGAACGAATAGGCTGTTCCCAGAGTGCTGTATCAAGGCACCTCAGTGGGAAGTCTGTGGGAAGGGAAAAGTGTGGCAGAAAACGCTGCACAACGAGAAGAGGTGACCGGATCCTGAGGAGGATTGTGGAGAAGGGCCGATTCCAGGCCTTGGGGGACCTGCGGAAGCAGTGGACTGAGTCTGGAGTAGAAACATCCAGAGCCACCGTGCACAGGCGTGTGCAGGAAATGGGCTACAGGTGCCGCATTCCCCAGGTCAAGCCACTTTTGAACAAGAGACTGCGTCAGAAGCATCTCACCTGGGACTGCTGCTGAGTGGTCCAAAGTTATGTTCTCTGATTACAGTAAATTTTGCATTTCCTTTGGAAATCAAGGTCCCAGAGTCTGGAGGAAGAGAGGAGACACATAATTCACATTGCTTGAGGTCCAGTGTCAAGTTTCCACAGTCACTGGGGTGTCATGTCATCTGCTGCTGTTGGTCCACTGTGTTTTATCAAGGGCAGGGTCAATGCAGCTAGCTATCAGGAGATTTTGGAGCACTTCATGCTTCCATCTGCTGAAAAGCTTTATGGAGATAAAGATTTCATTTTTCAGCACGACCTGGCACCTGCTCACAGTGCCAAAACCACTGGTAAATGGTTTACTGACCATGGTATTACTGTGCTCAATTGGCCTGCCAACTCTCCTGACCTGAACCCCATAGAGAACCTGTGGGATATTGTGAAGAGAAAGTTGAGAGACGCAAGACCCAACACTCTGGATGAGCTTAAGGCCGCTATCGAAGCATCCTGGGCCTCCATAACACCTCAGCAGTGCCACAGGCTGATTGCCTCCATGCCACACCGCATTGAAGCAGTCATTCATGCAAAAGGATTCCCAACCAAGTATGGAGTGCATAACTGAACATGATTATTTGAAGATTGGCGTTTTTTGTATTAAAAACACTTGTTTTTCATTGGTGGGATGAAATATGCTAATTTTTTGGGACAGGCATTTTGGGTTTTCATGAGCTGTATGCCATAATCATCAGTATTAAAACAATTAAAGACCTGAAATATTTCAGTTGGTGTGCAATGAATCTGAAATATATGAAACTTTAATTTTTATCATCACATTATGGAAAATAATGACCTTTATCACAATATGCTAATTTTTTGAGAAGGACCTGTAAGTCGGGCTTGTTCCTGGTGAGAGTTGGACTCTGCCAAGGTTGCCCTTTGTCACCAATTTTGTTCATAAGGTTCATATGGACAGAATTTCTAGGCGCAGCCAAGGTGTTGAGGGGATCCGTTTTGGTGGCCTTAGGATTGCGTCTCTGCTTTTTGCAGATGATGCGGTCCTATTGGCTTCATCAGATCGTGATCTACAGCTTTCGCTAGAGCAGTTCACAGCCGAGTGCGACACGGCTGGGATGAAGATCAGTTCCTCCAAATCCGAGGCCATGGTCTTGAGCCGGAAAAGGGTAGAGTGCCCTCTCCGGGTCAGGGAGGAGGTCCTGCCCCAAGTGGAGGAGTTCAATTATCTTGGGGTCTTGTTCACGAATGAGGGAAAAATGGAATGTGAGATCGATAGGCGGATAGGTGCAGTGTCTGCAGTGAAGCGGGCACTGCACAGGTCTGTCTTGGTGAAGAGAGAGCTGAGTCAAAAGGCGAAGCTCTCAATTTACCGATCGATCTACGTTCCTACCCTCATCTATGGTCATGAGCTTTGGGTTGTGACCGAAAGAACGAGATCTTGGATACAAGCGGCCGAAATGAGTTTTCTCCGCATGGTGTCTGGGCTCTCCCTTAGAGATAGGGTGAGAAGTTCGATCATCCGGGAGGGACTCAGAGTAGAGCCGCTGCTTCTCCACGTCGAAAGGAGCCAGTTGGGGTGGCTCGGTCATCTGGTTAGGATGCCTCCTGGACGCCTCCCTGGTGAGATGTTCCGGACATGTCCCACCGGGAGGAGACCCAGAAGAAGACCCAGGACATGCTAGAGGGACTATGTTTCTCGGCTGGCCTGGGACTGTCTTGGGATTCCGCTGGAGGAGCTGGCCCAAGTGGCTGGGGAGAGGGAAGTCTGGGCCTCCCTACTTAAGCTGCTACCCCCGCGACCCGACCCCGGATAAGCGGAAGAAAATGGATGGATGGATGGATGAGGTTAGAAGTAAGATTTTGAATTCAATTCTGAATTTGACAGGGAGCCAATGGAGATAAGCTAAAACTGGAGAAATATGATCTCTCCTATAACTCCAGTTAAGACTCTGGCAGCAGCATTTTGGATCAACTGAAGACTTTTTAAAACAAATATTTGGACACACAGATAACAAACCATTGCAATTGTCCAGTCTAGACAAATGCATGAACCAGTTTTTCTGCATCATTTTTCGACAAGATGTTTCTAATTTTAGCGATATTATGCAGGTGGAAGAAAGCTTTTCTGGTAGCTTTTTTAATGTAGGGGTTAAAAGACGTACTGATCGAAAATAACACAAAGATTTTTAACTTTTGAACTGAAGGCCAAATTAATGTTATCCAAAGAAAGTGAAAGACTGCAAACTTTATTCCTAAAATGCTCAGGTCCAAAAATGAAAACCTCAGTCTTGTCTGAGTTTAAAAGCAGAAAATTAAGGGTCATCCAGGTTTTTATGTCTTTAAGACATGCTTATAATTTAAATAATTGATTGGATTCATTGGGTTTCATGAACAAATATAACTGAGTATCATCAGCATAACAATGAAAAATCATCACATGCCATTTAATAACTAAAATAAACTGTATTTTGAAAACAGATAGCAAACAGGCAAAACTTAAGTGACTAAAATGATTTTTGTGTAATTTAAAAATGCCATAAAATTCAAACTTATTATTTTTTTTCTTGTTTTTAGATTTCACCTATACTGGCTCTTTCTGACACTAGACTTTCTTTAATGTTCCTTTCCACCCATACGTTGTATTTCAAGTGTTTGATAAGCATATACAAGTAGCATTACTGTAGATATTTTATCTTTAAAGGAATGCACTGCCTGGTGCTTCCATACATGGTCACAAATATTAAATTAAGAGAGCAAAGAAAGTTATTTATTTGTATTATGGTGCTGCTATATTTCAGCGGAATGCTTAAATACATATTATGTGTTAGAACCACTTAACTGTTAAATTTTTAATGTGCTGTCTTTATATTAGCTGTAGCAGTACTCCCATCTCCCCTCACCATGGCCTTTAAAATTTATTTCTCATGTCTCCTGGCCCCCGTTCTCTGCTGCATTATGCTTTTAAGATGCACTGTGGGCGGGGGTAACTATTCTCCTTTATGATTTAGATATGACTAAGTCCTGTTGTCTTATTTAAGACTGTAGAATGTTTTGCATCTCTGTGGTTTCATTTACCTGCATTTGATATTTCTGTTGACAGGTTATGAGCTTCAGGTTTTTGTTTTTGTGTGTTGCTTTGTAAGATCTACAGTGTCAGTAACACCATGTGTTGTTAAATTGTATGTCCTTTTGTTTGTTTGTGTAACATAGATAAACATACTGATTTTATTCTGTTTTATGTATTATTCAGGTGTCCCTGAAGTAGCGGTGTGTGCCAGCTTTTACACTTTGCAAACCGATGACAGTTCCTTTGGGTTTGGCCAAATGGTATCACCCCCTCAACCTACTTTCTTTCTGGCTAGTTACTAAAACATATTTTACTCACTAAAATTATGTTTTTGAGGCTCACATTAAAAGACACATTGACAGTCAAGAAATTCAGAAATCACGGCTGTTGAATTGAGATTAGAAACGGTGCAGATTACAAATTGAAATGCATTTTTATATGTTAATGACCTGAACATTTCAAATGGTTTGCTTTAATCCTCACACAAATACTACTTTGTTTAATCAACTGCAAAATTTCAACCTCAGTAAATTATTCTTGTAATTTTCCCTATATGAACAAACTAAATTGAATGTATTTATTTTTTCTTGAATGTATGCATAAGCAGGGGCATCAAACTCACTTACAAAAGGGGGCCAAAATTAAAACTTTTTTCAAACTAAGGGCCAATTTCAGAATCTACATTAACTCAAGTTAGATACCCAACATATTTTCTTGGTTGCAGATTCCTCAGCAAGTTTGATTGGTCTCATTTGATGTTCTTTGTTGCACTTTTGACATCATAATCAAAGATTACAGAAAAAATTAAAGTGATGAAAGTATTTTACGTTTAACATAGGGGCCAGATAAGATGTCAACAAGGGCCACATTTGGCCCCCAGGCCTTGCGTTTAACACATGTGCTTTAGAGTATTAAACTGTCTCAATCATCTGTTTTATATAAAAATATACCTGTACAAAAAAATAAGTTTTGTAAAAGTTTGTTGTCAAAATTAAATAGTTATAGCAATCTGTTGGCATGTTTATCTGAATTTAAACAATATTTGATGAGGCCTGTTGCGATAAACAATAAATCAATTAATCGCATGATAAGGGAAAATTACCGACCTTATTTTCATTTATCGGTTTTATCGTTTCTTCGTGTCTCTCTCTTTCTACTGAAGACACTGGATAACAAAAGGCTCAACTCCGATGCTCTTCACTGACCCCTCCCTTTCTCTTTTCTTTTTAAAATCCATTTAACCATCCAAAATTGCATTTTGGGATTGTTAAAAGCAGCTAAGCTGAGAAGCTAAGCTAAGAGCTAAGCTAACAGGCTGACCTCGGGAAAAAACCTCCGTCTTGTCCAAGCTCCAAAATTCACGGTTGAAACCCATGCCTTTGTGTAAAAATTTGTTTTTCTCTACAAAAGAAGCTAAGAACTTGTTTACTGATTTTTTTAATTAAACACTTTGTGTGAAAAATGCTATGCTGAAGAGCTCAAACCACACCGAGCATCCGCCATTTTGAGAACCAAAAAAAAAGGAAGGAGTGACAGCCCATGTCACATCAAGCGGCCTCCCTCCTATTTTTCTTAAAGAGACATGCTGCTCACTCTCTCACTATCCATCCTTCGGTTCAAATAGTATTATATGCCATCCGGTTGTCAAAAAAAGGTACTACACCCAAAATAAATTAACCAACATTTCTTCTTAAATTTTAAACAATATTATCGTTTGTCGCAATAATTTCTGAGACAATTAATCGCCCAGTAAAATTTGTTATTCTGACAGGCCTATATTTGATATTTTACTGTGTACACGTACGTAACATCTAAATATAGGATAGTTTTGATAGATTTTTCTCAGTTTGAGATGTAAAATCACACATTTTTGATTTCAACCTTTTGACAGCAATTCTCTGTATAAAAGTATAGAATTTAGGGAGAAAAAAATAACGCTCATCTTTTTATCTGATTAAGTTTCTGATCGAGTATGTTCTTTTCTGCCCACTTGTTTATTTTTTGGTCATTCAGGCAAATTCCGCCGAAGTTTTGCGCACTTACAGCTTATCCCTGCTGCACAGCCATGTTGTCCTGCTGACGAGAACCCGTGCATGCAAGCTGGAGGCCCCACCCAAACCTCCATCTGTGCCAAGATGGAAACTCATTCGTCCACGCAAGAAGATTGTGGTGTTCTCCGAACCACAGAGTGAGTGAAAGAAAGAAATGCTGAAGTGGAACTAAGAGTAGGATGCAGGGGAGTATATCAAACCAAGAAAAAAAGCACAAATGATGTCACTGTGTGGAGGTGAATACTAAAATAACATGTATCTAGATCAAGAATGTAATATAATGCATGACATTTAGAACACAGTGCAGAGGGTGTATAATGTTGGCAGGTAAAATGAAAATGCGAGGACATCACCTTTAATAGTGTAGTTTTGAAAATACCTGTTGGCTCAGGCATAGCTGACATAGGCTGATCGCTGAAACGTTGTCAAAAAGTCTGATCAGCAGTGTTGGCATGTTGTGTGAAGTATTTCTCCCTTTCTCTTTATCTTTTTTTCCCTTACAGAGTTTATTTTTCCAAAACCAGAGCGATTCATTGAGGTTGCCAGCCCTTTTCTTTGTTATGGTGTTAAAAGCAGCAATGGCTCAATCCCAGAACTGTATGTAAATTATCTAAAGATTTTTTTTAACCCTTCTCTTCTCTTCTCTTCTCTTCTCTTCTCTTCTCTTCTCTTCTCT